TTTATTGGAACACTGAAAACATTACAGATCATATTGTTTTAGTTATCCATAGAAAACTAATCTTCCGTCTTGATTCGAATTGATTCACTAATGTGATATATAGTTTTACCATTGATCATCACTAATAATAATTATGTAGATGATCTTACTATTGACGATTGATCAATGGTATTCATTTGAATGATTTAATTATTGAAGTGTTATTGCTCACATTCACTTCGTATTGTTTGTTTGAATCATTGTATTGATGTGTTGGGGTTGCGATTGATCAGTGTGTTATTGGCATATTTGCATACTATGCGTGTTGCCTCAATATTACTTTAAGTCACAAGCTATCTGAGATGAAATGTGTGTCGTGGATTCCACTGGTAGCCACCATCTATCTTTTTATTTATAATGCTTGTGAATGAGAGTAATTTCGAGACAGTCTACATAGAATGCATATATATAGCAATAAGAGACTGATCAATTACACTGCTAACCAACAATGAGAAGATACAAGCAAACGATATCAAATGAATTTCAACTTCATTACAACTTCATGCACAAGCAGTTGAGTATCACAACTCAATATGTAAGTGATAACATGATGGTGTTTGAAGTGAACAATAGTGGGTTCGAGTCCCGAAGTGAACATCAATCTTGTGTATTATGTATGTAGTTGGGAAAACATTTATTTAATATAAACACGTAAACTAATAACGAATTGAATTTGGCAATTTCATGAGAATACAGAGAAGCGTATATACAACATTCATTCGTTCAAGTCATGTTTTGAACGAAGTTGGTTAAGATTAAGAGAAAAAGATTCGGAATCAACTTTGTTTGAAATGAAGAACTTTGGTTTTTGAATTTTCATGACTTTTGTTATTTTGATTTTGAATGCTTTCGAAAAAATTACTGACTATAATAACCATTGGAAATGGTTGAATAATGTTGAGTTTGTGGAATAAAATGATCTAAAGTAGATCTGTCCATCGACTTAACTCCACATTTACTGAACCATACTAGAAAGTGTTTACCGTAAATAGATGTGAATGAATAGAACGTTGGCTAATAGAAATGGTTCTACAGGGGTAGTTGAAATTCACTTTCATTAAACTGTATGTTGTGGAAATTTTTTTGGATTTCGCAAATTGTATCATGAACTGATATCAACAAGACTAACATTGAGTACAGATGAAGAACACTCTGTCATTTTGTCTTGACATAGAAGTGCTTGGAATTGTTCATCCACAATATCATCAGGTATCGAATCCATGATCTCAAAATATAGTTTGACAACATGGTCTTGAGATAAGTATGTTTCCATTTAAAGGTTGATACATTTAACTCTGGTCAACTCACTATACTTCTCAACTGTCATCCTATGTTGTTGGTGAACAACTCCTTCAGTACTGATGTGCAGTATCTCCACTAATCACATCTTCTTATTAGGACTCGGGGAATCGCCTTTCGGAATTAATCCACAGTAATGACATGATGTTTTTGAGTGTTGGTTGGTTTCAGAGTGTTGAATTTTGTATTTATCATTTGATATAATAACTCGCCTAATTATTAATTATAATATGACTCCTTTGATTCTGCATTAATTACATATTTACTTGATTACATCTGTTATCCGTTTCGGAGGAGGATAGACCTCTCGCGAAACCGATTAGGGTTAAAACAAGTGATTTCCCCTCATGTGATTGTTAACTTTTTAAACGATCCAAGTTCATTGATGTTCATCTTTAATTTAGATAAGTTCTAATGAGATTTCATATTAATTCAATGGATTTTATTATTTACATGATGAATTAATCTTAGTTAGAGAGCTATTGAAGATCAGTAAGCATTAGGTATCTGTTTTGTCCGAGTATGAAACTCCTTATCAATGAGTATCCATGACCCCACCTGAATGAACTAATTGAAGTTAAACATGTCAACCATTGGATACCAACTCATTGGTCTAAACGTGATGAGCTCATCGTACGACCTGAAGATCCTACGTTTAACGCTCTATTGAGTAGTGTTTGAGAATTGCTCAAGAATCTCTTACTAAGATGAAACAGATATCCATGGCTTCCTTGTTTTCAATGGTTATCTAAATAAAACGAGTTCGTTATATAAATTATACAATCTCCTGTTATCTGAAAGTATTTTTAATCAAAATCTCTAGTTAACTGTAAAATCTAATAGTATCATGTTGTAATGAACAGGCTGTAAATGTTTTTGTACAGTAGCAAACTTATAGACTTGAATAAGGTAGTCGTTTAATCCTCTTTTTTCTTTATTATTTGTCCAGATGATGTCAACATAGAACAGTTTATTGCCATATCGACAAACATCTAAAAACTAAGGTCAAATTACAGGTAACCCAATATCTCTAACTAAAAAGATCCAAAGAGAAGTTGAAAATTTTAAGAATCGTGGTATTTTTAGTCCTACTAGGAGTTATCAAATACAGTAACATACGTATGTATAGGGTTGTGGACATTGTTGAATTTCATTGAAATTGTGAACTGATATAAGTCAAACCACCATTGAAAACCTGGAAGCGCTGAACTGCCTTTTCGTTCCGTAAGAGGCTCCTCAGCATTACCCATCCACGGCCCGTCACGAGAGATTCGAACCCAGGACATTCAGTTTAGCACGCAAACTCTTGACCTCTAAACCACTGAGTCAGCATCCAACGGTCTTAATGTTTAACCTCAGTCAATCTACGACATCGCACGACCATGTTTCACTGTCTTCGGTTAGTAACTGCTTCACACCCGACTTCTCACTAGAATTATCTCTTACATCTAGTTACTAGTGAGCAAATGATAATTACCACTATACGGTTGTGGTTGGTCAGTTCATGATCTGGATCAAAAGTCAACCATCAGCGATCAGTTTTTAAGTAGTGGCAAGATTATAACGATAACGTTTGCAATTTAGTCACAAATCTAAGTGAATTGATGACATCGCAATGGAGTTTTTTGAAAGCACTCAATAACAACCTTAGGATGTAAGCTTGATGCTGTTTTGTACAGCCTTGAAAATTATTTCTTAACCTTGAGGAAACAGACACCGTTTTTAAAAAAATATATTGCCATCACATTACCATACTTCAGGATTTAAAAGACCGAATTGATAATACTAACTTTTACAATTCCACGTGCTATAAACTATGGTCCACCAGGGTGCTTGGTACCTATGTGGTTGCGCCACAGGATTGAGCTGTACTATTAAGATTTTAGCGTAAAAGCCTATACGATGTCTGGTTCTCCTATGAATCGGGATTCAGCTGAACTGCTCGGGTTATAAAGCTTAAACCTGGACGGTGTCTGGCTCTCTTGTTAAACGGGATTGAGCTGTACTGTTTGGGTTGTCACATGAAAATCTGGATGATGTTTGGTTCTCCTCAAAACCAATGTAAAGTTACCCTGGCCAACAAGGGTATGTTATATAACTGCTATAAAATAACCAATTTTATGAGTGAAACCCCTTAAACAACATAACGGCTCCTCATTACTTTGTTTTACAAAGTAAACCTAACAATCATGCACATTGGATTGATCAAAATATTTTGTATTTCAAACGGTTGAGAGATTTGAAGTGATTATTCAATTTGAGGATATTTTGCTTCTCAGACTGACTCTAATAGACAATTATAGTGGGAAGCCATAAATAATAAAGTACAACCATGTCCCATGTGGTACATCTATCAACGACGATAATCGACAATGATCGAGGAATAAAATAAATTAACTGAAGTTAAACATAGAAACTATTGAGTTGAAGCTCAACTGTCTAATGGTATTGTAGTCTTCATGGTTATACTAGTCACTTCATTCCATACCATGATGATGAGACTATCATTGAAAGTTTATTATGAACCAAGCTATTGAACTGGATAGATTAATATATGAATTTTTAAATACAACTATGTACCAGGTCATAACATCTATTGGAGGACATCAGATTTCACAAGTGTGAAATTGAATTACGACATTCTGACTTTCATTCAACATCAGTATTCCTAGATCTTACAGAAGTAATCAGACAAAGAAGAATTCCCCAATTATTTCTAGTATGTATGTTGTATAGGCATGTACACTTAACAGTTTTGGAGATGTACTACTTATTTGGATTGTGAAAAGAAATCATATTTGTGTGTGTGTGTGTGTGTGTGTGGTCAGCTGAATAATTTTCCTTGACTAAGTAAGATAACATCTAACTTTGAATTAATTTGAATTGTTCAATATAGTTTATAATTTTCCATAAAATTATCATATTGATTATTATTGTTGTTTGTAGGCTTGGCAACAAAATACTCCGAGTAATAAAAAAAAATTCATTATATTTGTATAAGCCAGTTATTCAAAGAATAAATAAACAATCTACCCAGTGATTAATAAGCAAAGATGAATAGTAGTTAGTAGTGAAATCCATGATGCACGTTTCATCCTATTTGGGACTCGTCAACTGGATGTACCTGCATCTCAGAGTTGATGTTCACTCTGCGACTCGAACCCAGTATCATTCGCTTCAAAACGCCATCACGTTATCCAATTAACTACTGAGTTCTAATAACCACCTGTTTGTGCAATGGGATGAAGTTATATTCACTTTGTGATGTTTACTTGTATCTTTCCATTGATGTTTAGAACTATGATTGATCAGTCTGTTGTTGGCATATGTGCATCCTATACGGATTGCCTCGATATTGCTTTAACTCACAAGCTTAATAAACAAAGATGGATGATATCTAGCAGTGGAATCTTGGACGCGCGTCTTATCCTATTTGGGACTCGTTAACTGGATGTACCTGCATCTCGTACTTGATGTTCACTCTGGGACTCGAACCCAGTACTGATGCAGTCCTAAATAACAATCGGAAGATACAAGTAAACAACACCAAGTGAATATCTATTGATTAGTTTATTTAAAATGATCTAGTCAAACTTTGATATTGATATCAATAATGTTTCTAGTTCTTTCCATTTTTTCTCTCTCTCTCTTTACAAATTTAGATATGACTTATCAACTTTATGGTACAACTCATGGATTATCACATTGTTCTTTATTAAATGGATCATTAATTAATCCATCTCTATTACCTTCATTTCCAATATGTGATGATCAAAAAACAATTCATTTACTGAATAATTTAAGTAGTATATTCACGGATCAATATAGTGAACATACTACTGATAGATTGAATACATTGAAAAGTATAGAAAGTAATTCATGTATGACAATTTCAAAACCTACTAATGTAATGGATACAAATCATGGTAACTATAGTTACAATTGTGAACAACAACAACACCACCACCACCATCACCGACAACACCACCACCACCAACAACAACAATTAATATTAAATAAAACAAATTCATTAGAATTAAACAAACCAACATTTATGCTTTCACGTTTATTAGATAAAATAAGTAATAATATAGAGAATAATGATTCAATTAGAGAAGTGATGACAACATCCACATCAACTATGGATAATACCATTGATACATTGATTTAATTCATTGAAAACAAATAAACAAACATTAAATGAATAATTCATTGTTCAATTAAACAGTGTTCGTTACAAATGGATATAAATTTTATGATGCAGTCTTATAGACATCATTTCGAGTTTCCTGTCGTATGTTTTCTATTTCATGTTTTCAATCCTCCTCTTCCTCTTCCTCCTCCTCCTCCTACTACTACTAGTACTTCTTCGTCATCCTCGCCATCATCATCGTCATCATCTCGATTAACCTTTTCATCAGTAAAGCAAAGATGATCTACAATTTCATTTGTTGCTGAAATCAATCATATTTCCTTTTTATAATAACCTTTTTAACGAAAAAAAATATTGTTCATTTAAATGATCATTTCTGATTATACTACTTATATTACTTATATTGTTTACAATATAATGTTAACCAAACAATTCCAATCATCTAGTAGTATATGGTTGTAACGAGAAAAAGGTAACGGTACTGTAAATACAATAAATACATTGTTATGGTTGTATACACAGATATATAAGGAAGAATAAAAAGAAAGCCAAAATCCTCTTTATATGTTAAATCCTTTCCATTTGTTTATGCAAGAGATATTATCATTATTATTATTATTGAATATGGTTAGTAAGAATAGTAGCGATAATAATAATAATATGTCTTGTCGTTTAATGCTTCTTGTTATATCTGGTCGTCGCTGGAATTGAACGGAAGAGATAGGCATTTTCTGAATCAGCACGATAATGAAATATACTGCATAACTAATCAATAATCAATGTCGTTCAAGGACATCGACGAGAATTCTGCATACTGATTGTCTTGCCTCTTTTTCCACTTCATCGCCACTGATATGTCTTGTCGTTTAGTGCTTCTTTTTATATTTGGTCGTCACTGATTGTTGTGTCGGAAACGCTTATCACTTATACACGAAACGAGGGACCTGTGCAAATAATAATAATAATATGGAAAAGTTGATCATTCTTGCTTGTTCTTAAATGTACATGGACTACTGAAACAACATACAATATTCTATGGTTCATTAGTACGAGTTCAGTATTCGAATCCCCAAAGTCATGTGATATGTGGAAATATTGTTTTATTTACTTATTCGATTGATATAATAATGAAATATAAACAACTTGTGTTTAAAAAATAAATAACTTTTGGTTGTTGACATAGAAACAGAATATAAATGATGATATGATGGTTTCTATGATTGAAAATCTTCACCATACAATATTCTCTTCTAAATGAGACTGCTTAAATGATATAGTTGTGGTGTGGGCTACTTATATCCATATAAGTAGTATATAACGATAGTTCACTATATAGCTATCCTGCTTGATATGTCTGACAAGAATTTATGTTTAAAACTTCTCCTAACCATAGTCTTGTATTGAGTAGTGAAAATATTCACTTGATATTTATGTTCAGTTAGCTTTAATAGTATATTGTAGTGAATGAGAACAATAGTAGGGACAAGCAAACGTATTCGGACACAGAATCACTTAGTAAAATGTGAGAATCATACAGTGAGCCCTTCATTTTTTTAGTTAAAATACTTCTGTAGTTATATCTGCTATTCTTAAACTGATGGAAGCAGTTAACTAGGTTTGATTTGAAACGTCCAAGTTCCTGATCAAAGGTCAGTACTAGATCAAATGTCTGACGATTTAGGTTTCCTCGTTGGATGCCCGTATCGATATGATTTACCTTGTAAATCCTTCATTTGAAAAATGTCTCAGATTTGATTGTTCTTTTGTTTCTACACCAATCACTGTTTTTTTTCATTCTCTTCACTTCGATCTTCTTGACATTCTGATGCTACGCATTTCACTTTCAATTGATGATACATACTACTTATATCAACAATAAAATAGAATACTGTATAATTCATATTATTCTATATATTGCAAAGCGTATAAATTATAGGCGTATTATGAACAACAGATAATTCCAAAAACATCATTCAGTAAATAATTGCTACTGTCAGTATGACTTGTGGTGATTGTTGAATGTCATTGAAATTACAAAGCAATTCTCAGTTGTGGGGTCGTGGATGTCCACTGTTGAGGAGTCCCATACTAAAGGGAAATGGATATTTAGTACCATCCACGTATTCAACATTGTCTAGTTACAATTGTATCGTAGTTTCAATGAGATTGTTATTATTTTATCAATAATACTCAGATTCCTTCTCAGAAATTAACTCTACTTTATAAAAACAGATGAATCATTGAATTCTAACTCCATAAATATTACTCGAATCGTCGAATAGGAATTTCCAAAGCTATATCCTCTGTGTGTTGGACGGCGTACACAACTGATGAAGAATGCTACATTAAGATGTAAAAAATAGTTATCGGATTAATTCCAGTCGATAACCGATATCTACATAAATGTGTGAGTAAAATATAGTGGATTCACACTACTATTTTAACCCTTATCTTGTTTCGTTGAAAATTGAGATGGTTAACTAAGATGTCACCAACTTGAATTATGAAGTAATTAAGACAATTTTTGAACTTCTTTTTCAATATAAATTATAAATTGATGAGAATAACTATTTTATTCAGTTTCATCCTAGTACGCGACTCGTCAGCAGTGAGGATCTACGATCCCGCTAGCGGGATTCGAACACAGGACCTTCGGTCTCACGCGTCAATGTTTAACCTCAAGATCATTGAGTTGACATCCAATGGTTTTAATGTCTAACTTGTTAGCTCATTGTTTAGTTATACTCGAGCAATGTTAAAACAGTTATCTAACACTTCATGGAATTTTAATGACTATTCGACATATTTAACTTCAGGTATAAAAATAACTTTAAATATATAATATCTCCTTTAAAATAATTAACTTTATACTCATTTTCTCATTACGAAAGACTAGTTTGAAGCTAGATTTTCTAAGTTCTAGTAAACAGATGTTGCGGGTAAAGTCATTCAAGTCAAAAATGAGATAGCACCGTACTGATGACTTTGAATAACTATTACTGTATAACCCGGATCAGTTGAATCAGAGAATGTGTGTAGCTTAATGATGTTTCTTTCTACAGACTAATTCTTTCGTCCTGTACTATATATATCCTTATACATAATGTTTCTTTTATATATTACTACCATTGAATTAACCACTTCTATGAATTTGGTGTTCATCATGTTGTTCTAATGAGGTGTGGCAACTTAAAGTGATGCATATATGTGCCTGGTCGTATGTTGTAGCTGACTGACTGAGCTTAATGATACCTTTGTCACTAAATGAAACCAAAAACCATTGAGCTCTATGGAGCATGTGTTTAGGCGAGTCTCTAAAATAAATCAAAACATGAATTTCAATATTCATTTGTTCTTAAAACCACGTGTCTGAATAAGAAAGTTTTCATTACCAGTTCATATTCATCAAGATTCTATTGATGATCCGATGAACAGGTTGTAAGCCTTGATATGATCACAAACTTGAGCTCCCGAACATATATATGTATTCTTATTACTTTTATCATAAGCTTTCATTTGACCTATTGTTTACTGTAATACAAATTACCATCCTTAATTTATCCCCAATCAAATAGTTACAGTATCTCACACTCACAGCCACTTTTGGCCTGATCTTGTCTATAATTATTACTTTCTATTTTATTCTATGATAACGCCCAGTTTTCTTGTTTATAGACTGAGTACGTCCGAAATACATAACTCATACAGTGGAAGTTGAGATTGTGTTCTGACATTAAACAGATAAGGCTAGGCAAGAAAGACCAATAAGAAGTCAAAGTTAATTCTAGGCTGCTCGTACCAATTAACGCATTATTGGTTTGACACATTGCCATAGTCGTATAAGTCGATGTTGTAATTGGTGACTTAGTCATATGATAATTAATAGGGCCTAAGAATATAGCAGTTCATATAAATGTTAACTCAAAATGAAACTAGTTTTTAAATCCAATATATATGTATACTGTGAGCAGAGTCTGATTAAGAACTAAATAAAGCTATGGTATATTGAACATTAATAGATCATTGTTTCTCAATGCAGTAATTCATAGTTAACTCAATCTGCATACAGTTTGAATGTTCTAGATTTCATTACTGAGAGAACTCACATGTATACACTTCTATGTCATCACATATTAGATTGAAAATTCTGTTTCAATGATCAATCTCTGTATTGTAAACTCGGTGAGACTCTAATTAGTGGAAAATCTTTAAGCGACCCAGGACTGACCTTGAAAGTGTCCACTTAATACTCAGGACTAAATAAAGGGTTATAAATCTATGTGAGGAATTACAATTATGATTTACGGTTAATGAATTCGATTTAGGGTTTTTTTTTATTATCACCAACTGTAACATCAGCTATAATGCCAACATTCTATTTATCCAAATGGACGAGTGAATTTCGTGCCAACATGCAAAAATCTGTTATTTTATATCTAAATGGTTCATCTATAAATTATAATCTCACTGTAAACTTTTCTCAGAACAAAACGTTAACGTAGCATTTCTCTAAATCTTCCATTCAGATGAATTAACTTTCCCTGTTCTCTTTTCTTTTCTTCTCGTTTCTGATGATCATTCTCATTAATCAGACACTTGTACATTTATTCCATTAAATTAAATCAATTGCTTATCCATTTATTTTACAAATTCTATACAAAAAAAAAGAAGAAAAGGGAAAACAACAATCTCTGATTAAGGACATTTCACTTCTTTTTCTTTTTACTTATTATTATCCTCATTCTTTGTTTATATTAGCCTTGTGTTTTTTTTCTTTTTGCATTTTGATTGCTGTTATCGTTGTTGCTGTCGCTGTCGCTGTTGTTGGTGTTGGTGGTGGTGGTGGCGGTTGTGTTGTTGCCAATATTTATAAGATCCATTTGATTTGTTTGAATAAAATCACTTTTTATGGAACATTAATGACCATATAATCATTATGATTATGATGATTATGATTATTATTATTATTAAATTGGTATTGTCAATGGAATGTAAAATAAAAGTGATATAGATCATGAATAGATTTTAACTGTTTATTACTGTGTGTGTGCGTGTATGTGTGTGTGTGAATGTATGTGCGAGTGTATGTAAGTGTGAGTGTATGTATTCCTTCAAGTTTACATGTATCATTGTCTATTGTATTGGTAATAATAATAATAATAATGATAATAATAATAATAATAGTTCCTAATGAGCATAATGACATTCATAGTTAATAGTTTTCATTATTCCACTAAATAGGGTAGAGTATTTTAACCTATTCATTACGTTATATCTCATGCTTCCACCCCCCCCCCACCCCTCCTTCTCCATTCATTCCCTGCCTCACCAGAATTAAAAACAAACAAACAAACATAATAATTCCCTATTTTATAAAGGATATTTATGTTATTCATAAAGTGTGACTGGTTATTGTTACTATATA